TAAGAGGCGCGGGAAATAAGAGACAAAATTGTTTGACGAGTCTATTCGTATACTTGGTCTATCGTTCGCGATGGAAACATACTATTCTTCGTAAGACACACGAAACCTCGTAACACGGGTCAATACTATGGTTAACGGTGCTCGAAGTTCGAACGGTTCTCTTACCTCCGTGCCCGTCGGATTGTATGAGTGATTTCGATCGTCTCTGCACGATCCTGCATTTTATCTGACGACCTCTCCTCCTCCTCCGAGCCCGAGCGTAGTGACCTGCTCCGGATCTTTCTGGTGATGCTGGTTTATTGCTCCTTTGCTGTTACATGGGCTGGAAAATGCTTTGTCCAGGAAGATAGGCGCGATTGCGAAGTAATTTGACGTAACGTCGTTACTTTCCTTTTAAGTCTTCTCTACAAGATCGAGATTGAAAAATGCTTTCACCGATGATCATCGGTAATAATTATCTTCGGGATTGATTAATAGACGGTGCTCTGCAAATATGGTTCCGCAGTTTTCAATTCGAGTAATTGATTGCGGTACCGTACTTACAAGTTAAGATACCGTTAGAACCGAATGAAGATCGTGAGAATGTAGCAAATTATTGGATGTTATTCACACTCGTCACCGAATCACTACATATATTTTTAAACGAATTACCAGGCTCGTGCCTGTGTACACGGGACGCTCCTCCGTTTGTTGGCTCTAATTGGACTCGCGGAGATTCTCTGCCGACAAGAATTTGTTAATTGAAGGTTCATGCCGGCTCCCTCGCGCGGGGGGGTGGACCGGCCGGTCGTTGGGTCGAATTAGATTAGGGGTCGGTGATGAAGGGTGCGAAGGTGCGCCGCTTATTAGGAGGCACCATCTGGCGCCACTTATTGTACCGTGATTCGTCCCGGGTTATTGCGACTGAATGTGGAATTTAAATGCGACCCGACCCCACGGCCATTTTACGCTCACGGGTCATCTTGTTTTCCTTTTTGCGCCGATGGGCGGCCCGTCGCACCGTGCCGTTGAATTTTCATTAAGCAATTATTCGCAGCGACGACGAAATATGGCGTTAGCGAGCGCGACAGATGTAACGTAATAAGTTTCGCGTGACGTTCGAAATTTTTGATTACGAGACTAAAAACCTGTTTCCGGCTGCCTGAACGTGTGTTCTCTACCTCATAACGGTACGAGTTCTGTTCCGTGGATGAGATTCGAGTTTAAACGTGCCCGGTTCATGTAATTTCTTTTATCGTTTAAGCATCGTAATATCCACTCCAGCTTCTGTATATCCTATATACAAGGTAGTTCATTAAATGTATCACCTCGATCTGGAACGCCAGTATCATGCGTGGCGAAGAGTCTTTCAATATAATGTTGCATGATCTCTAGAGGACCAGATTTAATAGAGATATGAAGATCATTATTTTAAATGAGACTGTACAGTTTTTCTCCACCGACCGACGAAACTTTATATTCTCTAGTAAAAGTATAACCTACTCCTATTGAAAAGACATTAGTTATGTAGGTGATATCTCGGGAATCATATTATTGGACCACACTTTATCGAAGTAATATCTGACGAACCACCCCGTATATTTTTGTAATAAATTCGATGCATAAAAACTATCACGTTTCGCGTTTCATCGTGCTTTTATTACTCGACAAAAAACGCGTTGCATCGTTGAATTCCCATCACCATTAGGCATACACCCAGCAATTTCGATGTACAGTTATGCCCCGGCTGCATACCATTTTTAACTCGAAGGCGTTGAACGTCACAGTAATATGCGAGCGAAGAAAGAAACTGACGTGTAATTTCGTCGGGCGGTGTAGAATTTCACGTCTAGGCCAGGAATCTTCTCGGATAATTATCTGAATCGCCTCGTATCCTCGCCTCCGGGCGACGACTAATAAACTTATCGAATCCGTCGATGGCAACTTTACAATTGTGCTGCGAGGCTTGCGTAACTTGCTACGGTGCCCACGGAAACGCGATCCGCTGTAACAATTCCCGCAGCGAATCGAGAACGCCGTACACGCGGCGCTTACATTACGTTACATTACACGGAGAAGAGAATCGGAGTTCGCGTTGCACGGTTCAGCGAATTTCCAATTTACTTACTACGAATTTCGAATCAGGAATTTTGCACTTTATATTTTGACTCTAATTCACGATTATTCTCAAGTACGAATACTCATTTCCTTCTATTCTGTTTAATTATAAGGTGTAATAACGCTTTCATAGGCAAGATTTCTAAAATTTTGTACAATGTTTTATTAATGTAATATCTAGTAACTGTTAAAATTTCAATGCTTTGTCATTCTTTTTATGTAAAGTTCATACAACCTTAATCAATATTCTTTTGGTTTGATATTGACATTTATGGTAATCTTAAGAGACATGAAAAACGTATGTTATTATTGAACATAATTAATTAACATAATTTTTAAGCGAATACACGGCGTCTAAAATATGAACATGAATATTTCTAAACGCATGATTGCGAGCTCGGCTCCCTTTGATTCAGGAACCGGCGTATCTCGTAAAGCTACTCTAAGCCCCTCAAAGGAAAGCATCATCGGATCCAGAACGGGAAGAATGACTCCATTAATCCCGCACGATTGATCCCCCAGTTTTCACGGAAGCATCAATCACCGGCTCGGTCGGTCGAATCTTACTCGCCTTCTATACCAACTTCTCTGTAGTTTAGCCTGGGATTATCTCGCGTTCTCCGTCAGCGGAATTGGCATCGACATTGCCGCGATAATCAATCAACCGTCAATATTCCTGAGAGCATGTGAAAACGAGTGGCCTGCCGTTTTTTCGTCCGCCACCGAATCGCACGATTAACAAACCGATATACACGTGCTTCTAAGAATTTCACACGTTACCCATTAATAATAATCAGACTGCTTCAGTCAGGAAATTATTTATACGTTAACTATTAGGAATCAGATGATCACGGACAGTTTCAATAGAGCTCATCTTCGAACATCTGACAAACTTTAAAAACTGTTATGCACAATGTGAAATTTTGAAGAGTTAAGATTAGAAATATTGTTCGATACTCCTAGTAACGTTTAATCAGAAACGAGAAGCTGTGATATAATAATTGGAGCCAGGTTTCACTCGCCATCGATTACGCGAATTTATGACACTAAGCAACCATGGAGAGGATTCACGCTTTCACCGAATCACGAACGTATCTCGATCGAACAGAGAAAAACTAGAAATCGTGACCAGAGGTATTCGCTTCCTGGCCGAATTAAATTAAATGTTTTGCGACCAGAGATGCAGTTCGGTCGAAGAGCATGGAAACTATTTTATCGGCATTGCGTAACGTTGTAACAACGTAATAGAGTTATCAAAAGATCTGATCTGGCGTGGAGAAAAACAATAGCGATACGAAATGAATGGACGGGATAATTACATAAATAAATACTGAATAAACATTTATCTGCGATATATCGAGATAAAATTGTTTAAGTATTTGATTGACGATTGAAGCCGGCAGTGTTTTTCGATGAAATTTGAAATAGATTTACTGCGTACGAATGCGAGTTACGCGGCTGAATATTGAAAGCTAATATTTACTACAAAATGATGATACAGTGATCAATCGTGATTTAATCGACAAAAAACATTAATCTCGCGCACGTTTCTAGACGTGTCCCGTCATAAAAATCTAGTTTCTATTTACATTTATCGAATGCATAGACACACGGTCCGAATATAAGTATTGATTCATTGTTTTTCAATTTGACTCTAAGCAACGCTATCGGCACTATTGTACAATACAAACGTTTGGTTGGACATGCAATCTCTTGTTATCATATCAAAAATAACGTTTCTCCTCATATCTCTATATTCACTTCAAGGGGCCTTACCTTGTGACCTTACTGAAGTCTCTAACTACTTGTTAAATTCTGTGATGCTCCTAAAACATTTGAAACACATCTCCGAACTGTTTAGCTCGTAGCAACATCCGGAATCTTCCCATTTCGGTCCATAATTTGATCCCAGAGGTTTCACGCCAGCCAATTATATTCCGTATTGTCCCGGGCTGTCGACAAAGGCGACCGTCGGAATCCGTTGCCCGTGACAAAACTAGAGAAAGATCCACACCGAGCGACATAGAGGGAGAAAGAGAGAGAATTACCCGTGAGGAACTTTATTAAACTATTACCGCATGAAACTCGTTAAATACCCAGGAGGCAGGTATCCCGAGCCTAGGAGCTGCGGTCTGACCGTCTAATTTCAGTCGACAGACGGCATGTTTGCGTGACGCCGCTGGCATCTTCGCGCTCCACATGTCGAAGGCACGCGCGCCCTGCCCGCGAGAATTCACGGACCGAGCCTGACTATTCCTCCACCTACGTAGGACGTAGGATCCTCGCGTGCGCGCACGTGCACACGAATCGATACTCGGCGTACTCACGTTTAATAATAACACGACTCTGCGATATCCGCCTTATTAACGCCGGCTAAAATTCTGTCACTACCGGTTTAATAAGCTGCATCCATCGGTTTTCCCTGCGCTCGCCTTCGTGTCAGTGCGTCTATCGCCACGTCAAATGTTGGAATATTTTTGATCACGCTCGTTAGGGAGTATTAAATTTAAATCGAGTTATTCTCGTTGCGAATTCATTTTTATGGCAAGATAAATTCGAGCGAAAAGTTGGGAGCGTCCCGTTTTAATGGTTGTTACCGGTTATAAAAATTGTTACCGTGCCAAAGTCGGGGAGGCATTAAGAGAAATTAAGGGGTTCAGGTGGGGTATTCACGTTTCGCAGGACGAAAACGGGTCGGAAATATTGCGGACCGCTTCGGTCCGCGGGCTGTGAATTAAAAGTAGGCGAAATTTAATGCGAACGAACGCAGAGCAGGGAGGGGGAGGGCCGCATCGGGATTCCGTTTGAAGTTACGCCGGTCTTACCAACGTATTGTTTCGTTTTTACCAAGCCTGGCTACGTTAATGGAAGAAATAATTTTGTTTCTCTTCGTTTCTTTGCAGCTACGTGAGCTTTTCTGCCCGGGATACTTCGTGTATCGCAAATTCTGCTTAAGTACATAAGTACTGAAAAAAATTTTATACATGGTCAATTTCGATCCTCGGTTAAGTGCAACATTTATCATTTCAGTATTTCTGGAATTCTTTCATATTTTATCAAACAAAAATTATGATATACGTTAGGAGACAGTTTGTCAGATTTTCGTACATACTTCATCCACTGTTCAGAATTTAATGTGGAGCTATTAATTAATCCATGTTTCTATTTTCATAATGAACGTTGGCATTGACTGACGGCTTTTGTTTTTATGGCTTATTAAATAATTCTATGCCTCAGTTGCATGTTCATAGTCGTAACTGGATCAGGGTGAGCATGTCTCATTGCGAGAAATGATCTACTAACACCAAAACAAATGTAAAAACCTCTGGGGGACAGCGATTAAAAATAATTGAATCGAAGGAACAAGAATGATGAAAATTATCGGGACGAATAATTATCGGGCAGTGACTACGGTTAATCCGATCGAGCGAACGTCTGAAGTTTGTAATTAATACGAGAAAAGGGGAATTAGCAATGGTATCCGCGATTGGTTTCCCCGGGTACTAAACAATCTCCTTTTCCGTCGTCTCTTCCCTCCTTTTCCCAATCCAGTGGTTCGGCCCGATCTCGCCCCGGCGTGGTTTTTTTGCCCGCGCGGAGAGGATCGCGGAGGGTAAATTGCATCCCGATCGACCCAGTTTTTATTTCAATTTATCCTGAATTTATGTGCGAATTACCGACCGAGAAAACGGAGCCAATCGAATGCCGCGGGAGAAAAGAAGACGGGCAAAGAACTCCTCCTAGCTGACGCGATTTACTCCCGTCGCCCATCTCTCGACGCCCGCTCTCGTTAACTACGATTCAATTTGCATTTCATCCGATAAATCCGATCCACTCTTGGTCACTCACACGTGCCGTTCGAGATTCACCTTTCTTTCCTTTATGTTCGATACGTACGAACGCGATGACTAGACCGGAGATTTGTGTGAGGAATAAAAGTGTCGGTTCACGAAATGTGTCTTAGATAATGATTTTGTTGGTCGTTCCGATTTTTTTTCTGAAATGCAATAAATTCGTCTTGATCTCTCTTTGAATCCTTCGCCGGCTGCAAGAAGATCCATCGGCACTTTATGATTTACAATATCGCTAGTTATTACCGTATCCTATCCACCGGCGGAGTCGCTCTCCGTCGATTCGTATCGGGAGCCTGACAGTCCGGAAGATGATTGCTTTTGCCAGCTCAGCCGAAAGGGACCGCGACGAAAAGGCTCCTTCCGCTCGAGCGAAGCATCGAAACGCGATCCAGAGATGCCTGGGATGCGTACGCAGCCCTCGCCCTCGCCTTCGCGAATTTTCCAAGGATTTCGCTTTGATTTTATCGCGATTCACGGGGATGGGAAACGTTGTGGCGCGCTGTCGATACCGGTGGAACGAATCTCGAACCGCGCGCGGGTTACTCTCACCCCCGGCCTCTATACTTTCGACTTGAAATTGCTATCGGACTTCCACTTAAAATTGCTTACTTTGATGCACGCCTCATCGGTTATCTGATATCTAATTACATCTGTGCGGCTATCAGTTACCCCCCGGCTAATCATTAAATTAGCTTTTTGGCTTATTAGCTGAAGGGACTTATTATAAATAAATCGTATTGTATTATGTATATATAAAATAAATTATAAAATAAAATCAGAATAGCCAGTCGCTTCACATGAATGTTTTTAACGATTTACACTTTTCATATCTCAAGTAAGTTATTCACGTGGTCAGTCTTATTATACTATATTCGATGTTCTGATGATTATTGAACTATTTCACGAGCGAGACAAAGGATGTAATCAATTACGGTTGGCAATTTATCAGCGGATAGAGTACGATCCGAACTTTGTATCGTTACGCGGATTATTAAGTTCTATGAGGGTGCAGTCGGAAGTTCGCACAATAATTCCAACGGTTATTCAAATTGGCGTATTTCATAGGAGTCGTCGTAACGAATGAAACTATCCGTGTAACTATTTACGCGCGAGCACTACTACCTATCTGTGTACGGATGTGTATCAGTATCTCGTTTCTCATATGCGGTAAGCAGCATTTCGTGCTCCGCTGGTTCAATCAAATTTCATCCTGCGGTCAAATTTTGGCTTTCTCTGCTCCGCGTTTCAAATTGATACAGGCATTGTTGATAATGCACAGTATCACGTGTTGCGCACGTACACGGGATTACGCGACGTTACATCAATTACGAATCGAATAGATTTTATTAGATAGTTAAAAATCAGGTAAAATATTGATGTGCTCGTCGGTTCGTTCAACGGAACGTCGGTCATTCTCTTCGAAAGGTTCTCCGATCAATCTGAAAAGCTCGTATTAAAGCTCGATTGAATCGCGGGAATTAATCCATCCTTTTGACGCAGCGCACTTTAATATACCGGAAACAAATGAGTTGTTTAAACTTCGAATAACATCAGCCGCAACCGATTAACCGTCCGCTCGGGGCAAAAACCGTTTCCACAGGAACGTCGCCGCAGGGGGTGAATTTGATCACGAATTAAACGAGTGTAGAAAAAAAGAGTCGCGCTGCGAAACGGAGTCACCCGTTTTCCAGTTGCAATTCGAGAGATACACCCCCGTTCATAAGTTTTCAGATGTATTCTGAAACGTAAGGTCGAATAAAATGAACAGACTTCCTAATATGTTATTAAAAGTCAGATTGCAATGTTTCATTTCATTTTACGATTCTTTGAAATCTACCCATTTTCACTTAAAACACAATTCTGTTGAAAGTATTTCATGATCTACTGTGTTATAAAATTTAACGATACAATATGATCTTTCAATCGATGATCACTTATTTGGACTAATTACGAGATTCTTCGATAGGTGCGGGGGATGTGTTTGAAAACTTGTGAACGGGAGTGTATGCGGAATGACAGGATGGTTCGGGCAGAGAAACGGCGGGCAGCGAAATGGGCAATTTTTCTCGCGGCTCCAGGCAGCACGCGTCGAACATTTGCAAACACGTCGATTCGACGTTACACTTTCGCCGCTCGTTTTTCCTGTTCCGGTTCCCGGGAGTTATGAATTTTTCCGCGAGACGAAAATCATTCCGACCTTTTCACCCCCTCGTCTCCCGCCGCGTAACTCCGAGCCGAATGAAATGAAACAAGAAAACGTTTCGCCCTCGTGAGAAACGCTGATGTTTCGCTCGTTTCTTGCGAAGAAACAAGGAACGAAGTCCCGGGAACGTGACTCCGTCGACACGTTCGAGATTTCGAATTTTTATGAGTTTCCCTTATTGGATCAGTTTGCTCGTTTACAGAGTCACCGGTTGGGCTTGATAACTTCTCTCGATCATCGATTCGCCATGGTACCACCCAGTTTTCACTTGAAAATACAAAATGCAATGCATACTCTAAAACTGTTCTGTCGTCTACCCATACAATTAGATTTTCTTTCGTCGAGCCAAATTGTCGCATTTGCATCGCAATTTCAAGTTCCCATGAATGTTTCCTTTTTTTAAACCAAGTTAAGGAAGAATAAGTTGTTTCCCTCGCAACAAGCAATGATTAGGAAGTTTCTACGTTTCCCGACGTGGAAGGCGTTTCTGGGAACAAAACGAATTAAGTTTCGCGACGACGAGAAAGAATGGTACTATATAGGCGAGGGAGAAATCGTCGATGCAAATTTTTCTCTCGAGCCGAGGCGGCTACTTCTGCTTTATTCAGCGCGGTCATTCGTCTTTCTCCTTCCTGTCTTTTCTTTTTTCTAATTTCGACTCTAAGAACGTCGCCTTGCAGAATTTCCTGGATTTCCGTGAGTCGATGTTGACGAACGATCTTCGGTCGTAATACAATACACTATCAAAAGTCATCGATAAGTTTTAATATCGTTATAGCTTACTGGTTTTCTTTTTTTATCATAAGATCGTCTATAGAATAAATGTTTGACGATCATTTCATTAAATCTTCAAACACGTTTCGTAGATCTTTTCCAACGCGTCCTTATCTTTTGTTCCGGTTGAGTCGTTTTAAATCAGACGTCTTATTCGACTCGTCTACTTACGCCGAGCATTAATCAACCTCTTTTTCTAGGCCATCATTCATTCGCTCTATTATAATTTCTCAGCGTCACCGTCGATTTATACCCAAACTCGCCAGATAGTCGATGCATTCTCCTTTTGTCACACAATCATTAATATAAAATATTTGATCCATTAAATGTCGAAAAGTATAATTAAAAGTATTACTATTCTTAGCCAAGTGCCTTTAGCATTGCCTTATTTCTCCAAAGAAATTATAGGAAATTTCGTTGAGATTGCCACTTGATAATTACGAGTGTTAAATCTGTTATCAAGAGCAATTGACTTATCTCGCAGTCGGTGTATGGGGGAAAAAAGTGTGCGTTAACTTGACGATATCGTCCGTAACGGTTGGGAAACAATGAATAAAGAGGCGGTGTGTAACGAGACGCAGCGTTACAACGAACGCTTAGCGCGGGGACAATGAAGTTTATGCGGTGCCACGAGCCGTTATCTTATGACGACGCGGAGGATTAAGTTTCAAGCACCGATGCAACGGAGCTTGCACTTTCCTGCCTGCTTATGGCAAACGCTCGAGAGCGTAAGCGTATTCGTGTCCGGAGTAATTCCCTGTATACGCCCACTCCGTTTGCACTGTTCGTGGATATTGCGGTGATAAGGGCTGATGTTCCGTCTCCGCGTCTCAATTCTCCCGGGCGTCCTGCTCCACTCCCGGGAATGATTTTTCCATCCATTAAACTCTTCCCTTCCGCAGGAATAAATTAGCAGGTAAATGTATAAATCAATGCGAGGCAGTGCTAGATTTAATATAACACGTTGGTCGGCCACCACGAAGCCATGCATTAGATATAACTCGAGAGGTATCTGCTATTTCCAAGTCGAAGTAATTTGCGCTGTGAAAGATTTACGTAGTGGTACATTCGGCTGCGCACGAGGTAATGCCTGATTTAGTGATAGTGATAGATGCAGTGATGCA